AACATTCTATACATAGGAAAGAAAAATAAAACTGAGGTCGAAAAGGAAAATTGTTCTTTTCAAAACATAAATAAGTAAGAAAACGCGTGTGTATTATATATCCGCCGTCTCCTGTTATTAGCAACATTTTATATTGATTACTGCGTAAATATTCAGCGGTGACTTGTGATCTTATTATTTATATAACGTTTCTTTCATTGAAGGTCAACGCTTATACTGTTATTTATCCGGCTTATTTAGTATTTACATACGTAGATGTTAAAACATGATTGATAAGATAATCGTCTTTATCTTTTACCACATGTCAGGATTAATACGTATTCAGCTGTCGAGGTCGTGTGTACGTGATATCTGCGATGTCATTATGCACGTGGAGAAATTCATTTTTTGATTTAAACAAAATGCTTGCATATGAGCAAAGACTTTGGTTGTAAACGCAAGGCAAAATTTGATTCTCTGAAGCGAAAATGAAAAAGGTAGTTAAATGAAAGCAAAATAAAAAAAGAGTCAATATAAAGTCATTTTTAAGTCATCTGAGATCGAAATATCAATCGTGACTAAAAATTAATGAAAATTTGTTCAATATGACGTCAAACTGGCATCATTTTGACCATTCTGTTCTTTTTAGGATCTAGAGCAGAGTAGGGTACGTGCATAAGGTTTAATAAAATAAATGGACTAAAAGATAATTCATATTTATGTTAATTTTACGGTCACTGCGCTGCCGCGTCACATACATCCGTTGTACATAAATGAAGAACAATTTTCTATGACGGAAATATATGGCGTATGCAACAGAGGGATATTTTTCTATAACAATTACATCTGCCCATATGCAGCGAAATTACAGAGTCAAACTTAATTCTACAAGGGATCAGCGGACAGTTCAAGTCAGGCGAAATAACGGCAATACTTGGTCCTTCCGGTGCCGGGAAATCGACACTCCTTAATATCCTTGCGGGTTACAAGTGAGTTAAACGACCATATTCTGCTACGTTAATTCTTCTCTATTTTTTTTTTATCGACCAAATGAATTGATTAGTTTTGCAACTTCTTCGGCTATTTATTTCTGCGCGGTTAATCAACAACTTTCAAGTATTTATATATTGCAAATTTATGACTGTCTAAGGGTACACAAAAAATGGTATAACTGCATATACATAGCATAGACTAAGTTTCATATAATGAATGAAGTCTATATGCACGTAAAATATTTGTATAAAATATTAACAATACAACTAAATATCCTGAAAATATTCCTATGGATATTATGAACATATTCAGGATGATTCTGAGGTCGCCTTGTGCTGTCTGGATAATGATCTAATTAATTTTATGGTTGTAATATAATTAAAGATGCACGAACGTAAGTGGCTCTATAAGTATCAATAGACAACCACGAGATGTTCGGGAATTCAGGAAGATGTCGTGTTATATCATGCAAGAGAATTTTGTGCAACCGAAACTCACAGTCCTAGAAGCGTTGACATTCGCTGCCGACTTGAAACTTGGCAAAAGAAAATCCCGATTTGAGAAAAGCGCTGTTGTGAGTACAGTATGAAGATTATGCTCTAAAAACATGTATAATATTAAAATATAAGCGAAGTCGATAAGCTCTATAAATAAAGAATATAATACGATTGGTATTCGCGCTTGATCATTGCAGACATCGCAGTGTTTCCTTCACTTTCTTTCGCACAAAGCGAGTTG